TAAAATAAAATATGAATATTATAGTAAATCTAAAATATAAATTAACAATGTTTCAAACTGATCTTATACCAAAAAATATTACAATTTCGCACAATGGTACTGTATCTTCTTTTGCTATATTCTTTGACCATATTCTTACGATAATTCTCATCTCTAACAAACTTCCAATAATTATATGTAATAAATATATATTAACAACTAGTCAAAAAATTGAGACATAAATTCAATGTATTTAAAACTATTCTTTGCAAATTGCAAATAAACTCTTTTTTTATCAAGAGTATATAGATAAAATTGCAACATTTTAAAGTAAGAATCCTTAACTAAAATATAATTCTGTATAATAAACTACTTCAAAATATGTCTACGTATTACTAAGTGCTAAACGCTTTCAATTTACATTCAAACCTAGGCTCCAAGGATTAAGAAATATAAAATAGTTTAACAAAAAAAAAAACATACGGGGAATATTCAAAAACAAAACCATAATGAAACTCTGTGTTTATTTGTCAATCCCAATATTTCTCTAAAACAAAGCCCTTTAAGGTTTTGTATAAAATTTATAACATTCTTGTATATCCTTGAAAATTCCGTCCCAGAATACGGCCGCTATCAGAAAGCTGACTCTGACGTGATGAGAACACGGCGACTGTGACGGGAATCAATAGTCATCATTACAATCAGCTATTAATTAATTTAGGCGTTTCTGATACACACACAAACACACACACACACACACACATATAAAGAAAATAATATATGTCATTAAAATATACAAACAAAAATATTACTGTCTGTCAAACCTTATTTATTCTTAATTCCAAATATTGAATTACAATTGTGTCTTATTGTATTAATAATGTATTTTATTTAATTAATTAATATTTTTTTTTATAAAATGACTTTCAATTTTTAGACTTATTTTGACTCAATATGGCTTGACTTAAAATTTTAACATCAATGAAGAAATGATCGTGGATTGTCGCGGAGTAGAAAGGGTAAGCTAAGGTAATAAGTACACAAAAAGGAACGTAAAATAAGTACACAAAACATCAAGTTCATGTTTAAACTGTGCTTTCAATGTGTTGCAAACTCTATCATACAAAGGTTTATAATGTTGGCAACTTTAAAAATGCCTCTACTTTTTATGCTTATATTTTTAGATAATAATTATAATTTTATATGGTTACAAATATTTTAATAGGACTATTTTATTATTTCTTTCAGAAAGTAATAGCTTCAAAAGACACGTACTTAAATTTCGTTAATATTTTCGTAAATCCCATCAAATATAAGTGAATCGTTTCTAAATCCGCGATTGTTATAATTTATAATAAATTCAATACATTCGTTTTGAGCCCTCTATTTAAAACAAACGAACCCAACCGAAAAGCAAACTTAATCCAATCCACGAATGAAACGAACTAAGACGTCGTCGACTCAAACAAATTATTTGACATAATGTCGTTAATTAGAAACCCTCTTTTGTAACCGAGGGTAGGGTAATTAGGTTCGGATACTATGAATGGCTCCTTTTTCTGCTCGTTACGGCTAAAACAAAAGCCAAAGAAGTAAACAGAACAGTATTCGGCTAAGAATTTGAATAGGAAATGACAATAGAATGGAAACTACATTTAGTATTTCAAACGGTTCAATGTTTTTGCTTTTCATTTTGTAGTTTTGTAACATAACACTTATACTACTATTTACGTACATTAGTTTTAATATTTTAGATCATTATTATTTCATGTTTTCTGATAACAATCAGAGTCTTAAGAAAAATTCGCGAAAGGGTTTCTCTCCCCCAAGTATTTGATTGTGACGGCATTGTCTCCACTGATTAGTATGATATCTCTTAATCTAAATAGTTACAAGGATCTAAAGTCGGTTCGCCCGCCGTCGTTACATTGGTAATAAAGTTTTATCATTGTTAATTTTTATTCGATAATACCATTTTATATCAGAACAACGATTCTCGTATGTATTGCTTCATTAACAAATATATAATATGTAAAAACTCTTATTTCTTAAAATTTTAATAAGTTTATATTACACAAAATTTCATAAACAAATTTCCAAGAAATAAATCTAAGATTTTGTTGAATTTGTTGAAGTTACGTAATAGTTTTGCAACGATATTCACAGAAGATTGACTATTAACTGCCCGTCAAACTTAATACAAAATATATCTTAAAACAGAATTACTATAGTGTCATATGTTAAAATATTATTTACCTATATTTTATATATACAAACAAAACACATAGATATTTAAATACTTTCACTCACAACAAACAAACAACATCATACTCTTAATTGTGTTTAAAATTCACAAATCCCTTTTGCGTAGACAACAATAACTCGTTTTAAAGCGACAAGAGAAATTCAAATATTATAATTAAGTAAGATAACGGTCTCTCAGAGTATAATACGCTTTTATTGCGGCCATTGAAGAAAGACCAACTTGTCATAATATTGAATCACGTTAATATAAAGGAAGATGAGATATCAAGACTGAGAAACGCACAGAGTTGGAATCATATTATAACAATGAGTTTATAAAATATATCTGTAAATATGTTTGTTTGTTAGGAAGATTATTTTTTATACGTTCATACCTAAATCTATATATTTTGATATATATAAATATTATCAGATGATTCAACTAGGTAGGAGCATTGAATAATGAACAAAGGTATCGTTTAGGTTCAGCCGTAGTTGGCGCGTTGAAGCCGAACTGATATTATTAACATAACAAACCTTCATAAAAACCAAAGTAAATTGCTCCCCCATTCATATGCGAGTTATTAAATATTGTGAAAACAATAGTTCAACCACCGTGAAAAAATCCAATATCGGGTACCTTAAAGCCCATGCAAATTCGGAAAAATCTATTATAATCTGGCTCGCACACTGCTGGACGCTCTTTTCATTCGATGCCTTTTGTTAGCGTATTCAATTAAGTTTACATCGGCGCCGAGGTCAGTTAATAAAAACCGAAGCCTACAAAAATTGGCGCGTAAATCAAATTCAATAAAGCGCTGCACAATAGTTCTGGACAACCGTTGGAAAATGACTCCGTCAAACAATGACTCGGCCGCCGGTCGCGGCAATCAAATTTGTATTACGTCCTGCATCGAGGTTTTTGCATTTTTAACACGGCACTCATTTAGACGTACACCGTACAGCTAATAGCTAACAGGATACATGAAACAGGGTACAGAGTAGGCTCTATAAAATGGTTTTACATGACTATCGATCGGATATTCACCCTTTCACATTAAGAATTCCCTTCCACCTTCAGAGTCTTGAAATTAATCGCTCGAGAGCCGCTGTCTATTGAAGTTTCTTTGCAAGTTGTTAAGAGGCTCAACTCCCTTAAAACTGTGCAGATAATGTTAAACATTCATTTAAGTGAGGGCTCTAACTTCCGAATCGTCCTATAAATCTTCTAATTCTTAGAGTGTTTAATATTCATATCACCTTTGCAGTCGCTTTAAGCTAAATCCTCTCAGCACAGAAACTTTGACAATCTTGACAAATACTCTCGTATAACTTTGATATATTTATAAAACAACTGAATACATTCCATAGTTTTATATTCAGTTCAATCATTAACATTTTTAATACAATAAAATATTTATAACATTACTATAGTCTTAAACAAATATTAAAGTTACTAAGTTGACTTTATCTAGCGAGTGTTATTGTCTTGAAATAGTAAGTTAGTCTGTAATCGTAAATGTGACTTTCATTGCTAGAACCTTTACGACTCTCGTAAAGATGATCTGACTAGGAATCGGATTTTCAGGTTAAATGAGTTAAAAAATAGGAAAAATAATAGTATTATATTATGTATTAACTATCAAATAAAATTTATGTATATTACTGTATATTTAAGTAATTTAATAATTATTTTATTCGTTTAAAATAAGATCACTTGTGAGAGCCGTAAGCAATTGCGGGTAGCCGCCAAAACACGTAGATCGTACATTCGTCTCGTTACAGCTGTACCAATATTTGTAGACACCTACATATCCTAGAATCACGAACAAAACAAACGGATGTTCATACAAGCGTGACGTTGCCGGGGTTCATGTTTAGCTGGTTGTGTTATAACCGTTTGATCAGGTCGTCCTGACATCGCCGCATCAGCGGTTTTGATGCGATCCTTCCATTAATTTGTTCCTATCACGACATCACGATGCCTTTACGACCAGAATTCAAACATTTAAATAAAAATTTACATTTAAATCACCTGTCGCTTTTATATTTTTGTATAACACATGTTTAAATAGTTTTATTTAAATGTAAAAACATCACAACAGAGACGTGTTGAATGTAATGCTATTTATCTTATTTATGTAAATAAATACTTGAAATTCGTCGTTCCGTATCCGCCCATGTCGTGTAGCTGTCCGCTGTATTTTAAAACGAGCACAGCTTTTTATATTCTTAGCATATTTTTCAAAAACGCTCGACATCCCGTCCGTATTAATACGCGTTCTTAAACTCCCCTCTATATGAATAATTACATGTTTTTCGGATTTATTCTCCACCTTATCTGTAAGACACGCGTTTTAAATTTGCAAAGTCATTCTTTTCGCCTTATTGAGGATAATATATCTTAGCTCCGTTACCGTTCTGATTAATGCCTTTTACTAGACTCGTCGCAACTTTGTCAGAGATAACACTCAAAAATAATGGGACGTGACTCGCTTAATTCGCTTTTTACAAGCAAAGGAATCATTTTTAATATTATTTTTATCATAAAATTTATTGACACTTTTGCTAAGCTGTTTTTTTAGTTGTAAACTATTTTTCATTAAATTCTGATAGTAAATTGACTCTCGTCCAATCTAAACTCCTTTTTTGTGACTGAAACTTATTGGGAAGAAACATTTTTTTTTGTATTCTTCTTTCAAAAGAATATGTCAATATTTTATGACATCGCGTAACAAATCTATATAAAAATTTTCATCTTTATGGAATACTGTAATATGCGTCTTTTTTTGATCATCGCATTATGTGCTGGTAAGAATTATAAAAGAGTGTTTTATATCAATTAAGGCTTATCCAGAATAAGTTTTGTATTATTTTAGATTTAACAGCGAAATTCGTGGTCGCCGATGGAGAATTCGAAGTTAAAAGAGGTGTATTTCCTTTTATGGTGAGTGAAATTATTAACAATTGAGTAAATTCATACCCAAAGTTAATATAAAATATTTTGTTTACAGGCTTTCGTTTATTACCCGGACAAAACAGTTGTAGATAGTTCTGGTATACGACTCAAGAGAGGTGCGGTCTTAATACGGCCTGACTGGCTCGTGACTTCCTCACTAGAAGATGGACAAATTTCGCTCGCGTTTCCAAAAGAGACATTGGTAGCGAGACTCGGAGCTATCAGAATAGATTCTAAATTCACTCTTTTTGAGGATGAGGACGAACAAGAACGTGAGGTAATCTATCCTTTCTTAACACGTAATATAATAAATATATTTTTTACATACATACATTTTTTTGCAGATAATTCAAATAGCACGTCCCCAAAACTACAGTGCAATGGAATGGTGGTTCGCTGATATATCATTGTTGAAAACTCTGCTCCCTTTTAACATAACAGCGGCAGTTGGTCCAGCAATCATCAACACTAAACCCAGGGATGCGGATAAGAGTTGCTTCATACTAGTCTACGCTGTACTTATTATTACACTATATATTGTTTGCTTAAATACGGACTTACTATAATATATAATATCTTTCCATTTTATCACAATTAGGCGCCCAATGGAAATGCAAGCGACGATAGGATGTTGATGCAACTTTCAATAGAAATACTAGGCTCATCTCCGGAGAACTGTGGCAGCAACTACATGAGAAGTATGATGTGTGGAACAAACACTGATGACACGAGAAAATATCCTGGTTTCTGTGAGGTGAATCACTTTACCCCTATTTTAATGTCCTAGCCAATAAACTCCATATAATTTTATATTTACAACATAATAAATGTTGGTTTCATCTCTCGTATCAACAGGGTAATAGTGGAGGTCCTCTAGTATGTGATAATGAAGTGATTGCGATACAAACTTACTTTAATGATTGTAAGCCACCTCACCGATATCAAATCCTGGGTGCTTGGGACAATTTAATAACATGCGCCTTAGAGGACAAATGCAAAGAGGAGCAATGCGCTAGAATTTGCAGCACCATACATAAAGATTCCGATGACGTTGTCATTCCGGAGAAAACGTTATCAGAGGAAGCAAAAATACATTCCGACGACGAAAATATCTCTACCACTGACGGGCAAGAAGTAGGCCAAGAAGTATCAAGTACCCCTGTAGAAGCAAGAAGACTGCTGCAAGATAATTCGCACTTTTTGTCCTTTAACTCTGGCTTGGTTCATACTGATTCTCCTACAGCGAATTCTACGGAAGCACAGAATACTAAGGAGACAGTTCTCAGTAGTGAAGTTGATACTACAGAGAAATCAACGTCCACTACGAATGACCATACTGATGAAGAGCAGCAGGATGCAATTACGAAGTCTCCCAGCGCAGCCGTCACTATGAGTCCAGAAACAGAAAACATGCCCGTATATAAAACTATGGAATCAGAAAGCAGTGTGCCAGAGAACCTCATAGAAAATTCACAACAAGAGGAGCCACCGCAACGGCCACCACTCAAAGTGAGAAGCGAAGCTTCGATAAACGTTAATTCATTCTATTTCATGTTAATATTGGCTATGATTAATTTTACATAGAATTGTATTGTGACTGGTATTTGTTTTAGTTTCTTTGAAAATTGAAATAAATTTTTCGTTTAAAATAATATTTTCAATTGAAACTCATGTAAAAAAGCAGTAACATCGAACTCTATACTAAAATGTTAGCCATAATAATATACAAAATTCCTTCAATACGGTCTGGAAACTTGTTAATGCTATTAGAGCAAACTGCGGAGGCGTTAAGCCTGCAACCTTACTTAATTCTACTTATTCGGAAAACTTTGGAGCGCTGCTTCTATGGAACATCTTTTGCACGCTGAGTGTATCTACTTTATATACTCATGACAATTAATGGAATAAATTAATTTCGCTCATATCCGTATATTATGTGGACACAGAACAAATATAATGGTTTCAATACCATATGAAATTGGTCGATAAAAGTTTTATGACAATTTTTATTCAGTATAAATTTTGACAAATATAACGATGTCACCTCAAAGAATAAATAATTTAATTGCCTGAATATTGTTCCATTTCTTATAATTATGTTCAATAATTATTATCTTTCAATATTTCCACTCATACAACAATATGGAATAATGTTAAAAAACCCACAATGATTAAAAATTAAGCTAAACTGACAAAGATTTTGAAGAAACGAAATTAGTTACATTTTATATTTATTTCTCAAAATGATTCTTCACTACGTATATTTTAAACAAAAATTTAAGCTTTATGATCAATATTTTAGTGAGAATACTTTCATACCCAAATAACTAACGAAAAACATGTACACAACAATCTAAATATTTGTCAATCAATGACGTGAAAAGAAAAAAATTACTCATTTTCAAGAGCATAAATAATATCAATTCTAAAACTTTCAATTACTTATTCACATACGGTCCACTAACACGTTAAAGCCACGGTATGTGAAGATTATATGAAATAAAATATTTTTCAATTGAATTTGAAAGTTTTGAAGTGCAGTTGAATCGAAATGTATCTTAATACGATCGGATGTGTTTAAATTCAAAAAGGGGTTCGCATTGGAAAACTGTTACGCATATTTTAAAGTTAAATTTACTTAACAGAGAATTCAACGTGAACATCTCATGGTAATTTGATATGTTTTATGATATTGAGAGGACGTGATGGTAGTATTCAGAGCAACTTTAATACTATATTTAAACTTCCATTCAAAAGATTTACATAAAATTATTGTTTCACGAGATTTATGACTTGATATAACTAAATCGGGGAGAAGAAATAGATAAAATCTATCAATAATTTGAAATATATCAGTTAACTTTAGTCATATATTTTTAGTCACTGGTGGCCAAGTGGTTAAAGGGCCCGCCTCTCATGCAAGAGGACGCTTGTTCGATCCTGGCAAGTACCAATGTGATTTTTCTGAGTCATATGTACTTTCTAAGAGTATTTAGACATCACTGATTAATGCATTCCCAAAGAGGGTTGATGTCAGGCAGACGGCCGGTCGTATAAACAATTAGCCAAAACTATTCACAACATGTAAGGCAGATCCTGCCTAAAGCTAGGAAATTTCCAGTTAGAAGAAGAAGAACTTAAGCATAAATTTTTGTTACATAAAAATAACATTTATCATACGTATTTATTTGTTGCCTGTTAAATAATAATAGCAATACCGTCGACTTACTTTCTGCAAAGTTTATTTTTAACTTGTTTACGAAAGCTTAGAAAGGGTCATCTCGTGAAATTTCAGCAATTAACACAGACGGGGATGAGTTAACAAATAAAACGAATTAATTCAACAGCGTCATAAAAAGAAATAAGCACTTCATAAAACTTTTAATAATTAAAACTCAAATAAAAATAATGATCGTCCCGGGGTCTAAGATCCCTAAGTCACAAGGAACGCTTTGCTAAAAACAAAAATGATTTGGAAAGGTTGCTTTTAAAACTTAGAAGTCATTTGGCACAAAACAAAAATTGGAGGGTTTTAAAACAAAGAATTTTTTGTTAGTTTAAATGATGTTATACTTCCGTGGCGATTATTTTATACCGTTGGGATCTTAAAATATGCTCTTATTTAAGAAATTTTTAATGTTAAAAATCTATGTCTATAATTATTATTTTAGAGAAGTATTCTACAATCTTTAACTAAAATACAAATGTATGTATTCTTAAAGGATGACCATAACTTACTTCATGTTAAACTATGTATGATCAACAAATTTAAATAACTTTTTATATTTTACTTAAATATTTTTATGAGAATTATAGTTTGAATATATTATTTGTAATGTCTAATAAAAATCGAATAATAATAATGTCTTTTTTAGAGAAGAGATTCTATTAACAAAACCAAGTATTGTTTATGTATGACCTATGTACTACAAATAATATTTAGTTTTGAAGAAATCCCTACTAATCCCTACTTAATATTATAAATGCGAAAGTAACTCTGTCTGTCTGTCTGTCTGTCTGTCTGCTACGCTTTCACGCCTAAACCACTGAACTGATTTTAATGAAATTCGGTACAGAGATAGAGTTGACCTTGAGAAAGAACATAGGATAGTTTTTATCCCAGACTTTTGAAAGGTTCTCTTGGAAACGCGATATAACCGAACTCCACGCGGCGAAGCTGCGGGCGGAAAGCTAGTAGTTTATAATCACGTTCATTGCAGTCTTGAAACTTGAAATTTTATACAACTAACTCATAAATAAATTTCATTTCACTTATCAATCAAAATGTCTAAGTTTGCTAAAATGAAAACTGATAAAAAATGTCGGCTAATGATTTGTGCGAAACCGACTTTTTGCAACACTGAATGAATACCGTATAATTTTAATCATTTAAGAACTTTTGCAATTTATTCTATTTTAAATAATAAAAACAGAATTAAAGTCTTCATTTAAATTATTCTATTCAAACTGTTATCTTTTCTAGATGTTATTAATAAAACGATTTTAATATAATAGATGAGTTATTAATTAAATTAAAATAACTTCTCGTAACGAAACAAAGGAGATACCTAATTGGTCACTATCAATACCGTTATTAGTAACAATAGCCGTCGGCACTGTAATTGGCAATTAGCCTAAATTTAAATTCTAGTAATTAATTTAGGAATAACTAGGAATTATATTATTATATCTATTTATTTATATAAACCTCAAAATATAGAAGATATTGAGATGTTTTAAGTTCGATTTAATTGAGTTTTTTTATGTTAAATAATCTATAATCTTGAGGGGAAACGAATCATATATTTCGTACAATAAAAATCCATCAACGTATAACGGAATCTCTGAATCTACCGACACCGTCTCTGTAGGCAATTTTCAATCTCTTTTCTATTTATGACAGTAATAAAGCGACCGGGAAAAGTCAACAATCAATTTTGTATTTCAATTTATTCCCAAGCATCCTAGTTCGTGCGGTGATAAGAAAAAGAAAAACGCGTTCATTTAAAACGGAAATTATTGCAAGAGGCCATCAGTGGTGTGCGCTCGGCTTACGTTGTTTATATTTTTTCTATTTCCATCATCCACGCGGAATTTGACGGTCTTGATCTGCGGACCACAGCATCCGAATGAAATTTTACACGCGACTCATATTATCGTTCATGTTTGAGAAGTTATTGTACTTTGAATCTCTATCAAACGAACATTTGAATATAGTTTTGTGTGTCTAAAAGAACAGTTGATTCGTTGTAAGCGGTTTTGTTTACTGACTAAATTAAAGATGGCAATGATAACATTTCTATCAAGCGAGTTTCGGCCGACAATGAGGGGCGGAGCGGCGGGAAATTGGGGTGATTTTTCATCTCTTTGAACGTCCGCTGTCGATGTGTAACGTTAGCAAATATGTAGAGAACAAACAGTGAAAACTTTAAAATTACTATTATACATACTCGTAGAGTTTCATTGTAACTCAACTATACGTATTGGAAGTTTTGAAGCTAATTTAATTTCGTAAAAGCTGATTTAATTAATCAAATTTATAACCAATAATATATTATATCCTTTAACCAAATTGACGTTAATTTCTAAATTAAATTTAATTTTTTATTGATAATAATAATAATACGACATTATGTCGAATCAATTAATCAAATTTATAACCAATAATATATATCTTTTAAATGAATTTACTTAAATTTCTAAATTTAATTTAATTTTTCATTCATAATAAATATAATACGACATAATGTCGAATGACATCTTATCGTACACTTCTCTCCATAGAAGATTTTCATCGGGAAGGAAAAATACCAAATTTCCGTTCACCTCTGAACTGATAGCACCATTACTGTTATTATAACGTCTCAATACATGTCGTTGACCTTTTATACAAGTGGAGGGTAAATAAAACATTTGATAGTTTGGAACAAGTTTTTAATGAGCTACTTTCTTTGGTCGTATCATTGGTTTTGAATTCTGACACATTAAATACATTTTGTTCAAACATCTCATACAACATCAGGAATGATTGAGACTACGTAAATGCGGAATTAAAATACCTAAATCAATACCTACTTATATAGGTAAGTATTGACTATCCTATACAGTTACATACATGTAATAATTATCGTAATATTTTTTTACATTTCGCTATAAACGTGATTTTAAATATACACCGATAATATATGCTACTTAAATTTATATTTACATAAATAATACAAACATTATAACAATGTCATAATTAAACTTAACAGGTAATATACATTAACGAAACAACGAGTATGAACGTACAAGCATACATAGAATGGCTATGCCAAAATTATGCTAAAAGAAAAAAACTATAAAAATTGTTCGTAATATTGCATAATAATAATATTTACAATATATAAATGAGATATCTTTAGAAAATCTACAAAAAAAATAATAAAAAAAAACATCGATAAAATAAAAGCAGTCTTTGAACTTTAGATTCAATTACATCACAAATAATATATTATTGAAACACATCAATTAATTATTCTACATCTGTCCTATGAGATCCTCTTATGAGATTAAATTTATTTTTAAAGTTACATTTTAATAAAAATCCATACATAGTCACGTAGGAAGAAGTGATTGTCTAAATCGTTTTGGCATTAACACTAACAGCTAACACTGAAACATGTAGATTTTAAAGAAAGTTCCTTCCGTCACAATTATATTCAAGTTTATAACAAACACTAATAGAACACGAATATCGAAAACCAGTAGTGGATGGTTGAAACCAAGCATTTAACACGGTTTACACTTAACCCAGCTTTATAGATGCTTGGTTTACACTTAACCCAGATTTATAGATGCTTGGTTTACACTTAACCCAGCTTTATAGTAGCTTGGTTTATACACACTGTTACATGTTAGAGCCACAACACCAAAAAAAATGTATGAGATTCTGGTTCACTGTTAAATGGTTCTTGGTTTGAGCTTGGTTTACATCCTATAATCTCAGCTGGACGCTGACAAGCCTAGCGGCTTGAGGTGCGAGGGTGGTGCGAAGGAAGCTGGGGAAGATCCTGACATGTTGTTGTTAAGATCGCCAGAACGACTTGATCCGTTCATGAGGCCGATAGGGTTGCTTGTCTGTTTAAGAAAATCTTCCTTAATATACATTACAGAGAAAAATATATACATATATATTGGTGAGCAAAAAAGTTTGTAAGCGTTTCGTTAAAATTTCATCTTAAAAAATCTGCAAAAAAACCTTGTAAATTTAAGTTGAGATGTGGAAATAATATATGAGTGTTTGTGGTTATATGTATGTGTATTATATAGTTCAAACCATACCGATGGTGGCGGCAGGTGCGTCGTCTGTCTCTTGAGATGAGCGAGCGGCGGCGGGTTGTAGGCCATGTTAGCGAAAACTAAACGCTCCTCGTAATCGTACTCGCACAAGATTTTGTTCTCGCACAAATAGAATCTATCACCGACGCAGAATCTGTCAAAGAAATTATATTACATAACATTGGTAATACTAAGAGGAAACGTGAAAGTTAGAAGTTATTGGTAGCATAAAGAACGCATGGGTTAAAACGAATTCGATTTCAAGACCATTTTTGCACATATTTTGTCGAATTCTCAATGAAACACGATACTTACTGATACAAACCTAGCATGTATTCGTATAATTAAAAAGAAACAGCTTCAATGTTCGTCATTTACAAATCGCGGCTAATCTCAATTCGTTACGATAAAAAAAACGCTTCACTCAACCACATTAACTTACCCAACAAGAAAGTCCATTAATAAAATAACAAAAAAAAAAAAAAACACTAAATATACATCAGATATTTATCATTGTTTACGCGTCGGTCGAAAGAAACGTCTTGGAAATGAAATTTACTGCCGCAAGTGGTAGAGGTCAACCTGAATCCTTACTACGATAACGTCACGCAACGCGCATCCCTCAATGTGGCAAAACAAAAGGTATCGCCTTCGACTCGCCACTGGCCGCCCGGAACCGTCACTGATAACAGAACCTTATCTCATCCCCCCCCTCCCTCCCTCATTCTTCCCCCTCATTGTCCACCCCTTGCCAACTCTTTTGTTTCACTTGTCACAAAAATTAAGCGCAATAGCACGGCTACAAATGTCTCCTTTTTTAAGGGGCCAATTTCCACCGCAACTCAGTCGATTTCGCTGCTCTTAATTAACTTTATTTCCTGTTCTCTCGTTCTCGACTTTTGTTTTTTGGGGGTTGTCCTTTTTATTTTGCATTTTTTTTTTGTCTGCTGTCGCGTAATGGAAAAGATGTAGAACGAAATTTTAATGACTGGGTGCAAGTTAAGCTTTGTTCGGAGCGCCATTGTGTCGCGGCGATTCTGACGCGGAGTTTGACGTTTTGTCTAATCGAGCGTGATGTTAAATGGATAACAATTTTAATAAATAGCGAATGTCTCTTTAGACAATGACTCCTTGATAAAAGTACAAAAACAAAATCATTTTTTATTCCTTTCAAGTTTAAAAATTCATCCTTAAGAAGTTCGAAACAATAAATTCCTAAATCGATATGTTTTGATGGTTATTTTCTGTTGGTGTTAATTTAATATAATCAAAACTTCGTAGTCATTTTCTACTGGTACATTAATCTAGTAGGTGAAGTACGTAAATCCGACATGCAAGTTGCAATAGACATCTGTGTATAAAGGTCGCTAGTTCTATCCTAGTTCGGCCCATGCTTCCGTGGAGTGCCGCGGGCTTGCGAGCAGATTGCTACTAAATTATTTAGCCGTTTAGCGATATTCGCCTGATATCTACCGTCCGACGCTCAAATCGGACAGCCCGCAAATTGGATTCAGATTTCTGCCGCCCGTGGAAATTGATTTGTACGTTGTATTTAATAGCCGGTGCTGATATTATTATTTTTATAAATAAATATATTTACGACATAATTATTATCCAAACTAAAGTAGACGTAAGGCTGATACAATAAATTCTATACTCCTAATTAAAATTCCAAACGACATGAAACGAAGATTTATAAACAAATCACTGAAATATTAAAGCATTTTTGAGTCTTAATCTGATAGTTTGAAGAGGAATGAAACAGATATGATATAGTAAAGATATCTAATATTAATTTTTCATCCAATAAGGTGACTACAATCCCGTAGTAGGAACAGCGATCCAGTATGCTGTTCAATGAATATACAATACAATGTAGGGTCTATACTGACTCCTGAGGGTCCATCAACACTGTAAAGGTACACGGGCGACGTATAAACCATTCACAACAGCTACTGTCCCGCGGCATCTATATTATTTAAAAGGACGCAATTTGACTTCACCCTTTAACTTTGACAATACTACTCTTAACACACCTTCAATTGAATTAGCTATACACGAACAAAAATTACTGTAATATTATATTTTGTGTGAAAATTGATAATTAAATCTATGATTTTCGCAAATTCTATTCATTTAAATAAAACTAATATTTTTAGGATATACTACTCGTGCTGAAAAGTAGCCGAAACGTCAGGAGTATGTAGTTTTTTATAAAAATAAAACGCGCGTAGTATATCCGAAAAATATAAGTTTCATTTAAATTACATAATTGATTCTTATAAATCATCACTGATGTGGCTTTTATATGAATAATGACAAAGACTATATTTATGTACGTCATTCAAACAAATCGATTCTACAAATAGAATATAATAACACTGTTAATCTTTAGTGTAAATTTTTATCCTCTTGACCTATAAAGGAAAATAAACATTAAATTTTTCCTCCTCTAAATGTACTATGTAGTGTTCATTAATAAATTCCCGTACAATAGCTGTGAGTTCAATATCTGAGCGTGGGGAAATCAAGTGCAGTTTACCTGAACTTACTCATACAGATATTATACTGACGCGAGGATGGGTATATTGAAGATTTGAGAAGAGGAAAATGAACGAATTTAACTGTTATCATGTTACAATATTATAAATGCGAAAGTAACTCTGTCTGTCTGTCTGTTACGCTTTCACGCCTAAACCACTGAAATGATTTTAATGAAATTTAGTACAGACATAGAGTTGACCTTGAGAAAGAACATAGGATAGTTTTTATCCCAGACTTTTTAAAGGTTCTCTTGGAAACGCGATATAACCGAACTCCACGCGGGCGAAGCTGCGGGCGGAAAGCTAGTAGTTACATATATTTCATAATTGTTTGACGGGCATAAAACCCAAATATGACATGTTTACGGACATGCAAATTGAGTAAAGGATGAAAAGCAAAGCAGAAAAACAATCACAAGCGTTTTAAAAGCAAATTTACTTTGAATGTAGCTTCTTATGTACCGGAAAATTTAATCGTGCTCTTTGTTTTTCGTCCGTGAGTCGAATAAACGATTCGGAGGCGCCTTCCACCATCTACTATCCCTCTCCATCATGAGAGGTTTCATATATTTCATCTCGCTCGTACAAGCCCTAAGCTGGACTCGTATTGAATACGGGAGTTTCCGCGTTCAATTTTCACGGGCGCAATCACTTCTGACAGGTGAGAAAATTAAGTGAACTCACATGAGCTTTTGATGGGATAAGTGTTGGGAATTGTATCAAGAATACGTCCGAGGAGGCGGTAATGTATGGCTAATTCAAAGTTTACGAGAAAGGTTCTAGCTTTGTCTATTATGTTAATCCTATACGATGTTGTTTGAGTATTTTTGTATTACTATCGCATTGGTTACAATGTCAGCTTTTATTTAATAGTTTTTAGGTTTAAATCCCGTCTTTGTTAAATGTACGTACGATGGAAACAATTTTTCAGAAATTTGATTTTGAAGGAAAGTAAATGAAAATCGGTATGATCACCTAAAATGTGTCGCTTTTGAAAAAAATACGTGATATAAAAATTAAGATATAGAGAACAAAACGAAGTTATAAAAACCTTACGAAGTATATTTATTACGTATAAATAAAATGTATAGTAATGATATAATGATATGATAATGATATGATACATTACCTGTGATTGCACTGCTGGCAGGCGAAACACTCTAGGTGGTACACGTTGCTGCGCGCGCGCATCACCATCTCAAAGGCCGGGATCACTTTGTTACAGGCGGCGCAGTAACCAGTGTTACCGAATAACCTGGTATAATAAATTATTACTATGATAATATAGCTATCATTAATATGAAAAAGTATTTTGTTCGTAAGAAAATATTTGATATAAATCTCAGAGGATAATTCCATATCTTTCAATAAGAGAATGTAAAGATTAACATAATTTACAGTAGGACTGGGTCCAAAATCTAATTCTTTAATATATGTTTACCCAAAAATCATTTCATCTATATAACAAAGAGACAATACATATACTTTATCACTAACATGGTCCCAAAAACACTACCCCCTTTTTTACTTTCAAAAGTATTTCCAATCAATTACCTCAAATAATCCCTCTTGCACAATATAAGGTTGGCTCTCGTGTACAAAGTATGTCCAACCTCGCCCAGTCTACAGTCACAGCAGCCGCACTTCAAACAGTCTTCATGCCACAGCTGATCCAAGGCTTTTAGCAGATAACGTTCTGTTATCACCTTACTGCAGCCAGCGCATATCTGATAACAATGACGAACAAAACCGGGTTTATATATATGTATGCCCATATTTAAATCTTAGTGATTATTTTTCAAGTGTTCGGTATTTAATTAAGAGGTGAATGAATTATGTGTGCTTTGTATATGTTAACAGATTCTTATGTATCGTGACTTTATATTATATATAACTATTAAGATATATTTTCGAGCAAACTATTAAGGGGGAAGGAACTAATTTTTTCCTATATTGTATTCTAATGTCTTAACAATATTACTGGAAAGTTTCATTAACATCTGTTTGGTATTTTTTATGTGAAAAAGCAACAAACATTTTCAGATTTTCCCAAACTTTTGCTTCTACAATTAGATATAAAAATTTGCTTTACAGGTTTTCAATATAGTATTAGATATAGTATAGTATATATCCAGTATAGTTTTCAGATTCAGTAAAGATCTTTGGTAATCCTCTGTGGTCTGTTCTAACCTGTGGTTGTGGCTGCGCAGGCGCACCGGTCGTCGAGGGCAGTGGGGACGCGCGCGCCTCCTTCGTCACGTCCATCGCTAACATGTGTCCCTACTGGGATGAGCCGCTGGGTTACTGCGGCTGCCTCTCACACTGTGAACGAAAAATAACCTTTATCTTCTATATATATAAAAATGGATTGCTGTTCCTTAGTCTCGCTAAAACTCGAGAACAGCTGAACGGATTTGTCTTATCTTAGTCTTGAAATGTTTGTGGAGGTTCAGGGAAGGTATAAAAGGTGAGAAAAATTGGAATAATTGCCGGGAAAACCCTAAAACCAGCCCTTTTCTATTTCCCATACAAACGCTTTTTTTGACATTAGATTTGACAACTAACTAATATGTCAATCATTATGTTTGATTGAAACAGGAAAAACCTGATTTTTTATGGCCTCTAAGACGGAATAGAGTTCACCTGGTCAGCTATACATATATTACTAATGACGAAACTAACGCGGACGAAGTCGCGGGCAAAAACTAGTTATATATAGTTATAAGGTTACAATTCGAACTAACCCGTATTGAAAGAACAAAAAGAAAACCTTATTACAAAGCTACTACTATCTCTCTGGATGTTAAATTGTTAATTTTTTTATTGATGATAGATCTCTGTTGCAAATGTAATACCTATCAATTAATAAATATTGAAGGCGACTCCCTTACATCATACTGTTGGTTGGTTGGTTTTAAATATAGCCTTCATCCGTGTAAAAACGTGCAATTATACATGTTTTTTTCTGTGGTAGACTGACTCAAACTTGGCTTATTTATGTGAAACACCAGTCACAAATATTCGACCAATGAGAAAATAGGAACATCATATATTTTTTAAATTATTTATGAAACCATTAAAAAAATGTTTTCACTGATAAAAATTCTATTGACGTCGAAAAAAAATTTATACAACGGATGTGGGTTTCCTATAAACAAGTCATGTATGAACTCTATCAACTGTCCAACTCGTCATATAACAATACGTTATATATTATCTTTGGTAGATAAGAAAATTTAAAATAAAATATACAACACTAGTCAACCACAACAAATGAAACATATATATAGGTTAACAATATACTCTGTGGTTTTTATTAGAAATTAAAAATATATTTATAAATGTAAATAGAATTATTATTCAACAAGTTTCAAGAACAAAACCTCGATACTACATCGTAATAACGCCTTAAAAAATACAGCCCGACTACTCAACCGATTAATGAGAGCGCGAAACGCTCTGTCACTGAAAACCAAATCATGTGCTTTAAAATATCGAATAAAAGGTGGAAAAAAAATTAAGGTATTAACAAAAAATACCGCCCGTGGTAAGCAATGAAATGAATCACGCGGACATAGTCACGGTTAATTAATAGTCTAAATAATTATATTTTTCGATCAAATTTATTGATTGTTTAATGTACAACAGTGACTCAAACGCAGCTAAAACTGACTCATATACACAAACTAACTTCAAACTATAAGTTAATAATGTATAAACCGGTTAAATCCGGTTAATATGAACAGGTTTTTTCTATACATCGTAAATAAATCCTGTATAACATAAGAGTGTTTTTAATTATAAATGTCAAATCCCGTGAATGAATGTTATGGAGTAAGAACGAACTGTCTAGAACAATACGGGGCACTTTAAGCCAGTGACGGATGGCGTTGGCCGGTCATTTTTGTACATTTTTGATTTCGATCCGGTTTGGGAATAATGGAATCCGGATATTGACAGGATATATGCACACTGCGTAACAAATTTTTGACAATGAATTGAAAACGAAGCTAATAATGAAATGGTGAAATGGAAACGGTAAATTTTATATACGTGTTTGAATTATTTATACAGGGTGACTGGTGAATTACTATCAATATTTAAGGAGAATACTCGGTACATGATTCTCATTCGAATTATGTAAAAAAAAATAGGTACTTAATTTTTGACCAAATTTCCTTGTTTATACCTAATCTTTAGGGTGTTCACACGATGCGTAATTAATTACATAACTTTTGGTTAACTTTACTTAGAAGTTTATTAATATTTATGTTATATTAATTTTTATTTTGTCATATATGATCGTCAAATATCACGTCCTCAAGTATCGATAGTAATTCACCAGTCACCCTGTATATAGTTGAATGTAATATAGGTTTTATTATAAACAGATATTTAAACAATGAAACATAAAATTCAAATAATAATTCACATTAAAACATTTTAAACGGCCACGTCAGCGACACGTGTCTCTGGTTAAAATAACATTTTATTATTTATGGGACTGTAATTAGTATTCTGTATTGTAAAGAATACCTACATTTCTCTTAACAAAAAAACAATTATATATTTAATATTTTTATCTGTAAAGAACAGTTTTTTCAACTGAAAAGTGTTGCGTATGAAAATGTCGATTTAATTTGGGGTGATTGCGGGCTGCCATGTGTCAATTTATGTCACGTTTCCAACGAGTAAATCACAATACAGCCGATAATGCGGTTACTCAGAGCATTTCGGGAAAAAATTACTAAAATCCTCAATGAAATCACCGTTAAAATACATTTACATTTTAAACTTTACAATATTTTTAAATTTTTATAAATGTCTTGTACTTTTATTACGTATCTGTGCTATCGTTAATCGATATCTATTTTTTTCGACGTAGACAGCCGGTGACGCGTACCATCGTGAATAATTATTGCCCGAGAGGTGACAGGAACACGCTACGCCACTTCCAAAACAACCCATAGCGAATGCAGCTCAGATTAGACGCAAAAAACCTCACGGCGTCCATTAAAACTGACTTTCGAACGTCAATACGCACGAACTAAATTTTTACCGGAATGTCGAAACGATCTAAGTACGCTCTATTAATGACATTGACACTTCATGCTTTTAAATTTCTAATGTTTCAAATGATTTAAATCAAAGTAAAGTCAGTGGTGGCCTAGTAGTTAAAAGGCCTACTCTCATGCATGAGGACGCGGGTTCGATCCTGGCATACCAATATGATTTTTCGGATTCATATGTACTTTCTGAGAGTATTTAGACATCACTGATTAATGCATTCCCAAAGGGGGTTGTCGTAAAAACAAATAGCCAAAACTATTCACAACATGTAAGGCAGACCCTGGCTAAAGCTGGGAAATTGCTAGGAAAGAAGAAGTATCAAAGTAATGTATAGTTAGTGATATTTGAATTTGGTATGTTTATTATAGTTTAAGAGGGAGTAAGTTTATGATATAAGTCCAGTCAGCGGTCCGCTAGGGAACAAAAGCATCCCACACCGTAAATGATTAATACAGACGGGGTCCGAGACCAATTACGCGCTGCCGCACTCCAAATTAGAAACTATTTTCGCCCATTAGCGGGCAAGTTCATAATCAATTAAACGTTAAAATTTCACAGCGCTGTATGTTTGTATAATCGGAGTTTGTGGTCCCACAGCGAGCTGTAACGTGGCCGTGTGGACCATAAAGGTTTTTGTTGCCGGCGGAAAATTTTAATGCATGTTACGAATGCATTTAACGGGGGATGTTAAAGTTGCATCGAACAAATTAATTCTCTATGAGAAATAATAGCCTCGGAATAACATTGTTTTGGTGCTTTATGGTCTATGAAATAATTAATTGTTTTTGTTGTTTCATTTTTGTTTATATCACCAGGAGTAGTGTGAGAAGTGTAATGTATCTGTTAGACTATTTGATTCGTTGTTAGTATTGGGTGCACTCAACTAATCATAATTCATCAGAATGATTAAAGAATAAACGCGGCTAGGGAGATGGCTGGATGTACACAATATGATTGCCACACCTGAGGAAACGGTAAAGTAACGAGCCGGGTAAAATAATTCAAAGATAACTCGTCTTACGATATGCTTCACTTACATATTAATTATTATACTGTAATTTCTATTAAAATCAGTAATTCATATAAAACATTTTAAATATAAAAATCCTCAAATATAAAATTCACAAAAAATATTGTTTTAAATTATTTTATATTTCACATCAATTACAAAACAAAATAGCCTTCTCTTATATCTTATGAAGATTTTTTCAATTTATTTCGACTAAATAAAGTAGAGTATACTCCAGTCGGTGCATTACAACAGCACTTATTTAGCAGATTGCTTTCCTTTAAGTCGTTCTTTAATCTACGGGTAACGTAACTCCCCCAATGCTGGCGTTTCACACGTCCTATGTTTTATACACTGTTCTGTTCTTACTACTAACTGGGATTTAGTCAAGATTAACATATTCTGACAAGAAAAAAAATAATATCGTTTAGGAATTTTAATTATGTAAAATTTTGTGGGCAATATTGGACTAATTATTATTTTGCCTTTCCATATTCAGTCTGTTTTATGTAAATCTATAGTCTATGGCAGCTCTTTAAATATAAATTGTTTATAATTCTTCAAGAGTCTATTTTCACTGAAAGTCCAGTCATTTAAGCTTAAATTAGGTAAGAATCTCGGAATTCGAGATACCCAGCTGTAAGTCTGTAAATAGTTGTATATTGACACCCTTAAAGTTGTCTCAAAACCTACATATGGTAGAGTGTAAGCAACGATTAAATTTCAAGGTGAAAGGTCACAAAAATCGGTTTGAAGTTTCAAGTAAAATGCTTACGAAAATATACTGAAATCAAATTTTAAATAAATCTATATAACACAATTTTTACAGCACAAAGGTGATTTAAATGCCTATATTCTATGGCATATCGAGTCAGCTAGCCGTGTCAGTGGCGGCTTCAATAACATAACGAAATTCAAACATTAATAGGCTCAAACGCAATCAGAGCTCGCTGTATAATCTAGTTAGGTGCTATTCCGCTAAAGCCTTCAGTAATCTGGCCCATTGTGGGCACGGAACTGATTGTGGCAATTTCGTGTTTATTGTTTTCACGTGTCTCAAGTCTCAAAGTACTGGTGATGTTATTAATCTAGGTACATTATATGCAACTATTGTTTATGAAACTACATAGATTGGATTAGATTGTCTAGATTGGACAACTAGGTAGACTATAACATACTAGATTTG